CACACACACACACACACACACACACACACACTGGATTTCCTGGAGATGAAAGTACAGACGGGCAGGTATAAGCTACCTCATGTGGGTGCTGGGAGGGAACTTGGATTCTCTGCAACTCCTGACTGTCCTCTCCAGCCCCAGCCCCACACACCAGACTTACTTTCTGTTTTTCTTTTTTCTTCTTTTTAAAATGGGTTATAGCTGTTTATTTTTTAATTGTGACAAAATATAAATAATATAAAGTTTACAATTTTAATCTACTTTTCAGGGTTCATTTATCCGTTTGACCGTTTGATTTTTAAAATTCTTCTTCCTCTAAGTTCTGGCTACCATATACTTAGGAGGATCAGCTTGGCCTGTGCTCAGGACAGTAGATCATTAGGTAATTAGGAAAGAAGTGTAAATATGGTGCCTGCTTTCAGGATCCCCGTTCTAATCTCAAGGGGATTAGGCCTCATTAGGGAAGCATGATGCATGTTCACCAGTCAGATAATGATTCGTGGCACGGAAGCCCTGCAGTGCTGAAGGGAAGCTTTGTGTAAAAGCGACACTCAGCTTAATCAGACTGCAGGGAAGGAGGAGGTGAGGAACTAGGATATCATGGCAGCTAGTCCAGTGGTAAGGCTGTCATTTTCTGGAGAATCTTGCCTTCCTTCCTTAGATTATTTAGGTGTTTCATTTGTGAAATAAGCTGAAAATACAACAGTTTAACATGTCATTGACACATAATTTGTATTTTTAAGGTCACAGAAACCAAATATTTAATTCGAGATATAAACAGTATTAAAAATCCAAATTATCATTGGGGTACATGAAATGAAAATTCACAAGGAACCAATAAAGTGTTAAAAAAAAGAAGGCAACTCAGATTCTCAGGGCTAGACGCTCTGCTCAGGGCTCAGGAGCACTTGGAGCCCCAGCACACACGTGATGGCCACTGCTGTTTGTAAATCCAGGAGATGCAGATCCTTCCCCTCCAACCCCTAAGGCATCAGGCACACATAGGATGTACACACATCCTTGTAGACAAAACACTTGTACACATAAAAATTTTAAAAACCCAGATTATCCAGTGACAACAGGGATAAACATTTTTGCATGGGCTTTTCTTTTTAATTTTTTTTTTGGGGGGGGGGAATGGTGGTAGTGGTAGGTTTTTTTGTTTGTTTGTTTTTGTTTTGTTTTGTTTATTCGACTGGCTTTTGAGACAGGGTTTCTCTGTGTGGCCCTGGCTGTCCTAGAACTCACTCTATAGACCAGGCTGGCCTCAAACTCAGAGACTCACCTGCTTCTGCCTCCAGAGTGTTGGGATTAAAGATATGTACCACCACTGTCCAGCAGGATTAAACTTTTTATAATTCTATGTAAATGAACCCCTTTCACAGGGTATCAACACATTTTCAATCATGTGGAAGCAAATATTTCCTTAGTAAGTTCAGCTCAGTTGGAGCTAGAATTTTCATGTGAAAGCAATGTAAAAAAAAAAAATGATGTGATGAAACCCATATTTACCTAAGCTTGAATTTCTGCTTCCTGAAACCTGTTAAATAGTTGAGAGTGCCATGTCTTATGGGTTCTGAATAATTCTGAGCGTGTGCAGAAGCCGCAGTGACAAGTGGCGAGAGCTGGTGCCTGCTTTTTTACCGTATAGCTATAGCGGGGCAGAGACTTCATCTAGACAACACGACGCCTCATAACAAGGACTGCGACGTTAACAGCTTTCTTCTTCCTCTTCTTTCTCTTCTCTTTCTGCAGGCAGGCAAGTGTACACTGGGGACCACCATGTTCACGTGACATTAAAAGGAAACGGAAACCTGTGGTCTCAGCATCTTTTTCTAGCCCTAGCACAGGTGATTATATACAGTTGTCATTTATAGAACAGTGTTGTGTTCCGAACGCTAAGTTATGTGTTTTATATACCTTTCCCTCTGATCTTTGTGATAAGGAATCTCTAATCCTGTTTTATGTAAGAAGTTGGATGCTGACAGTAATTTTCACAAGTCTGACAGTGGAGTCTGCTTTTTCATCCTGTCACTGGGCTTTCTGTGTTCCTCTGTCAGCTGTCCCAGTTGTTTGAACCTTTGCTGGGGTGAAGTCCATGCTGAAGCACACCCAGCTGGATAGCAGCTTGTTCAGCGACAAGTGGCTACCTGGGTTCCCATACTCTCTTCTTTAAAAAATAATTTTTATTTTATTTTACATATGTGTGTGCCTGGTGCCCATAGAGGCCAGAAAAGGGTATTGAATTTCCTAGGACTAGAGTTATAGATGGTTATAAACCACCATATGGGTGCTGGAAATTGAACCTGGGTCCTTTAGAAGAACAGCCAGAGCTCTTAACCACTGACCCATCTCCCTAGTCCCTGCTTTTTTCTTTTCTTTTCCTTTCTTTGTTTTTTTCTTTTCTTTTTTTTTTTTTTTTTGAGATAGGGTCATATGATATCGCTCTGGCTGTCCTTCAACTCACTACATAGACTGTAGACCAGGCTGGCTTTCACCACACAGGGATCCATCTGTCTCTGCCTCCTAAGGTGTGTACCACTATGCCTGGCCCTGTTTATTTTCTTCATTGGTGAATACAGTGCAGTGCATCCTCACTGGTTACGTATAATAGCGTGCCCATTTTTACTCATCATGAAATGTCTGATTAAAAACAAATTTTTCAGATAAACCTTTTTTGTTTCTATATAAAACTTATGCTAGTTGGTAGAAGCCCAAGATTGCAGCTATCTTTGGTGGGAAAGTGCCCAAGAGAGGACACAGAAAAATCTGGGGCTCTGGAAATGTTCTACATTACTGACTAGACAGGGGTGACATGGGTGTTTATATATGTAAATGTCTTTAGCTTTACACTTAAAATGTGTGTACTTTACCACACATATGTTAACAAGTATATTGAATATCAAGCCCATTGTAATTAAATTAGTTGCCCTAGTTAAACTACAGGTTGAACGTCCCTAATTTAAAAAATTCAAACTCTGAAGCAATTCAAAATATGAAAGCAGTCAGCAGCAGCACACGCCTTTAATCTCAGCACTCAGGAGGCAGAGGCAGGTGGATCTTTGAATTTTAGGCCAGTCTGGTCTACAGAGTGAGTCCAAGTCAGCCAGAGCTAACACAGAGAAATCCTGCCTTGAAAAACAAACAAAAACAAGAGCGAGAAACTTTTGAGCACTGACATGCACACGTAAGATGAATTCTCAACCTGGCTTTGTATGCTGGGCTGCAGTCAGAAGCAAGCGTGGTAACAAATCCTATGCATGGCCTCTCTCAGCTGTGAGGATAAGATGTGAGACAGACCTGCACCCAAAGCAGTTTTGCACCCAGACAGCCGGGAGACCGCTTACTTCACTAGCTGTGTCCACATCACGTATCCAGAGCAGTTGGGTGCTGAGTGAAGATATCGAGCAGGCAGGTGTGGACATGTTCTTCTCATGCTCTAGAGTGGACCTCTTTGAGCTTCTGTTTGAGGTGACTGTAATTCTGTGGCTCATCCTAGACAGTTATCTCAGGCCTAATGGTTCTTGTGAATTTTGATTGTGGTTTCCGCCTGGCCAGGCCCTGTGCAGGCAGTTAGTCTGCAGTAGTTGACTCAGCCTCTGCCTCAGCTTTAAGGACAAATGCAGTTCTTACTGTTCCCACTGATACATGAGAAAACTGAGGGCTAAGTGTAAGTCACCCTCTGAAGGCAAGTGTCAGTAACTCACAGGGTCCTGATGCCCTAGATTCGCCCTTTAAACACTTGACCATCCTTCGAATGTATGATAGGATTATTCCAGACTGTGAAACTCAGCTCACTCCTTGTTTCGCCTGCATTGTTTAAAGAATTTAAGCCTTTTTTCTTAATTTTTGTTCTCTTTCTTCCCCTCCTTAATACCTTGGTCCTATTTCTTGCTTTTAATTTTTTTCCAAGTTCTGGGGATCAAACCTAGGCCCTCATGTGCAGAGGCAAGTGCTGTACTGCTGAGCTCCACCCCCACCCAGCTTTAGTGCTTTATGAGAGCAGAACCATGGGAAGAGTTTATTCCACATTCAAAGCAGGGAATGTAGTTAGTGCATTAAAGAAGATGTGTTTCTGATGCCGACTCCTCTCCCCTAACTTGTTGACTGAGCCCGGCTTCACCGAGCACTTTCTTTCTTTCTTTTTTTTTTCTACTCACAACCTGAGTGCCCCATGGAGGTGAAGGACACAGCCTGAGCCTGCACCATCAGTCAGGAGAACAAATGGGCTTGCTCTGCCTACCATCGGGCCATCTCGGATTCCACCTCTTTTATAGAAATGAGTGATGAAGAGAGGTGCGTCCCGCTTTGCCGCTGTATTAATACACATCAGGGGCCAGCTCCTGGCACTAAATCACACAGCTGCATACATCTGTTATCAGCTCTTCACCCGTGTGATGAACAAGACTGCAGATAGAGGCTTCCTTGTGTCATTCTTTATAGGATTTTCCTAAAAGAATAAATAGCTCAGATCTCTGCCAACACTCTCCCTGTCACCGTGATGAATTCAGCTTCTTTCTTAAGCATGCAGCCACAAATCTCTGCCCTTCCCCCACCCGTAGAAAGTTTTGAGTTGAAATTGACTGAATTTAAAGATCTTAGTAAGGCTAGAGGGTGAAGAAAGGAAGGGACACCCAGGTCTTCCTTGTTTTGTTCGTGTGTATGTGTGTTAATAGCGCAAAGGCTGGGAAAGCACCCTCTCGGTCATTAGGTAGATCCTTCTGGAACTGGAGCGCTGTTATTGTCTTCTCTTTGTCTCTGCTTCCCTTCCAGCCCTAGCTTTAATGTGGATAGAGGTTTAGTGCATAGCTGTTTCCTGGATCCTAGTGAGTAAGTGTGCAAGCCTTTTCTAAGAGTGGTACCCAGGCTGTACTGCATGCTGAATCAAACTAGTTGTATTAGGCACTTAAAAAAATGTATTTGGGGATAGGAGTGGAAATAACCATTTTCTTCAAAACTTGAGAGTCAGTGGCTGTAAGAAATTTAAGGTACCCAGGCTTACACTGAACCATGCTGCTTGAAGTGATTTTCCTCATTAGAGCTCTTGACATGCAAATCACTCCTTTACCTTCAAAAGGTAAACGATGGTTTTTAGAATAGGAGAACTGGGACCATTGGAGATTCTGTTCAGAGCCTGGATAGTTTAGGCTATTCCTAAAGCCTTTCCCCCAACCTTCCATTCCCTGGGATTATGACTGCCGTTGAGAAGCTGTTTAACAGATGATCTGTTAGTTACCCTGAGCAGCAAGCCAGCTGAGTATTTGGAAGGGTAAGTGTTTTTAATCCATTTGTTCACTGCTAACCCCCAACATTTAACAAGACACCTGCCACTACAACAGACTTAGTAGGTAGTATTTATGAATAGACCAATGATATCTTGTTTATTTTTATTAGTATTTGTGAAGCTACTAGTGTCATTGTGACATTTCCCCATGTAGATAATACACTTTGATCACCATCAGTCTCTGTTACCGTGTATTGATCTCCCTCCCACTATCCCTTTCCTTTCCTCTAAGCACTCCTTTTACTTCCATATATTCTCTTGGCTTCTTTCATTATTTTTGTGATGTACACACATAAATATATACAAATATTTATACATGCATACAAAACTTGCGTTCACATGTATACACACAAAACCTATTGAATCCGTTTAGTGTTGTTTATATGTACATAATTTTGGGACTCACCATTGGGTACCGGATAACCACTTAAGGGTCTCATTCTTGTGGGAAACTGATTCTCCCTCTCTGCAGTCATCAGTTTTCTGTAGCTCTTCATCTAGAGGTAGCCCTGTCTGATTTCCTCCGTTCATGCTGGCATGTCAGTTGATGATGTCACTGTCTAGATCTTGTTTAGGCAGACATATTGTTGATCTTTTATGGGTGTGGCATCCCTCACTTTTGTAGAGGACAGTCTCACAGCAGATGTCTTGGACCTCTTGCTCTTGCAGTCCTCCTCACTTCCATCTTGTTGATGTTCTGTGTGCCTTAGATGTAGGTTAGGTTGTACACAGTGACCAACACAACAAGAAATCACCAATAATGCACAGTAGTACTTATATCTTGGGAGTAACCAACAGCTGTATGAGTGCTCTGTTGCATGTATACCTGCATGTCAGAAGAGAACATATGATCCCTTTATAGATGGTTGTGAGCCACCATGTAAGTGCTAGGAATTGAACTCTGGTCCTCCAGAAGAGCAGCCAGTGTTCTTAACCGATGAGCCATCTCTCCAGCCCTATGATTGGTCTTAAGGCATGATCAAGAGGAAGGATTTTATGCCTGGTACTCTAAATCTAGCCAACTACACATGATCAGTGAGGTCAGAACCTAGAGAAATCTACTGCTGCCACTTTCCTAAATCAGTGTAATCTCTAACTGCATTCTTACTACTTCCCCTTAAGTGTGGGTTTCAATGAAGCTCTGCTTTGCAATAGCTGGAGACCATTACAGCTACAGCTAACTGATGAGACTGGAGAGAACTGAGCCTAGGGTACTAGCCTCCGATATATGTATCTAAATTCATTATTTTTAAGTTGAGACAATGTTCTCCAAATTATTCTAACCCCTTGTCAAAAACTTAATTGCTATAAAAGATGATTGATACATAAGGTACAGAAACACAGTGTGGCGGGCTTATATATAAAAGACTATTGATACATAAGGTACAGAAACACAGTGCGGCGAGCTATAGTCTTATTCACCCTGGGAAAGGTTTCCCCACTTTGCTCAGCAGCAGCTGTTTTCCTACTTGTCTGTTGTCTTTTGTTTTGTTTTGTTTTGTTTTTTTTTACAGACATGCTTCTTTAAAGACACTGCTAAAGAGTATGTTGTCTGCTTCTTCGTGTTTCTGGACCTCATACAAAAGAATTCATATTGACAGGTTTCACCCAGTTCTGTTTCTGACATTCATACATGTTTTCTTGTACAAAATCCTTCTGTCTCTGACTGCCACACACAGAGTATTCCAGTGTAGAAGGAGGCCTGTGTCACAGCTCAGTGTTCTTGATGGCTATTGGTCATGTCCTACTTTATACTGTTGGGAAAGGTGCTGTTCTGGGTGAGGATGGGATAGACATTCTTCTAGGTTACTTCATGCTCGTTTGATGGTGGTTTCAGAAAAAAGACAATACTTGACAGAGACATGGTCAGAACCCTAGAGCATTTCTGGTGGAATGTCAAGTACTATATCCTATAGAAAATCGTGCAGTTTCTCAAGATGGTCATCATAAGACTGTCATGAGATCTGCCATCTCTGTTTCTTGATTATGTCACCTAAAGAGTTAAAAGAAGAAAATTTAAAATGTTAAAAAAAATGTTATCATGTTGTGTGTATGGCTGTTTTTCGTGCTTGTATGTCTATGTACCACATGCATGCAGAGCTCACAGAAGCCAGAAGATGTTGGATACTCGGAAACTGGAGTTACTTAAGGTTGTGGGCCTCCCTGTGGGGGCTGGAATTGAACCTAATTTTTCTGAAAAAGCAACCAGTGCTCTTAACTGCTGAGCCTCTCTTCAGCCCCCAAAACATAGATTTTCCTATAGTGCTGTTCACAGCAACATTGGTCACAGTAGAACAGCCCAGATATGCATGGCCAGGTGAATGAGCATCAAAATATGGTGTGTTTACACATGGACTGTCATTTAGCTAAATTTTTTTTGTGACCCACTATTAGAAACGTACCAAGGCTCGCTTGTTCTCGCTCTCATGCGCTCTCTCTCTCTCTCTCTCTCTCTCTCTCTCTCTCTGTGTGTGTGTGTGTGTGTGTGTGTTTACACACACACACTTGGGTAGACTTATTGGATGGGAAAGAAAAATCTAAACTGTGCTGTATTTTGCCATATCTCAGTGTATTTTGCTATATCTCAGTGTATTTTACTCTTGGCAGAGTGAAGACACTCTGGTGGGATGAGGGTGGTCTGTTGTGATCCACTTGGGCGTTTGGAAAGGTGAAGAACATGACAGCACTGTGGTGGGATGCCATTGACATTCAGTGGACCCGGTCCAGGGTGCTGAGTGTTGTGAGCACACAGCACAGCTCCACACCAGCACTGACTTCCCAGTCCAGAGTGTCTCACAACACGTCCTTAAAGTACTGTGCCTCAGTCTGTTTATTTCCTTGTATTCACTCGTAACACCATCATATTTGGGGTCCAATGTGGCAAGAAAACCATAAGGCTTCCAGCCCAATATTTGAACATGAATTGCTACTTTTGATTTTGTTAGTTTTGTTTTCTGATCCATAAAATTTGGATGATAGTGCCTACTTGTAAGAGTTTTTGTTAAGAAATTAGGTTGTAGCTGGGCGGTGGTGGCACGCCTTTAATCCCAGCACTTGGGAGGCAGAGGCAGGCGGATTTCTGAGTTCGAGGCCTGCCTGGTCTACAGAGTGAGTTCCAGGACAGCCAGGGCTACACAGAGAAACCCTGTCTCGAAAAACCAAAAAAAAAAAAAATTCGGTCGTGCAGGTAATAAATGGCACAGCTGTGACCCCAGCAGTTGGAGGCTGAGACAAGAAGGCCTTGACTTTGAAGCCATCTTGGGCTACTTCATAAGATGTTGTTTTTAAAAAGAAATGTGTACACACACACACACACACACACACACACACGGTGTAGGAGGGAAGAGTGGGGTAGGAGTCCTGAGTGTGCAGTGTATAGCAGAGCAGTGCTTGGCACATGTATGTTTCTCCATGGGTGAAATGTTTTGGGTTTTTCTATATTGTAAATTTGTTCTAAATGTTTTAAATGAAGAAAACAGTAATAGGTGAATAGGACATGAAATTCAAAGATTAAGAAGCTTCTCCTTCCTCTTCTTCTTTCTCCCCTTCCTCCTCTTCCTCTTCTTCCTCTTCCCCCCCTCCTCTTGTTCCTCCTCCCTCAAGATTTATTTATTTTATATATGTGAGTATGCTGCAGACACACCAGAAGAGGGCATCAGATCCCATTACAGATGGTTGTGAGCCACCATGTGGTTGCTGGGAATTGAACTCAGGACCTCTGGAAGAACAGCCAGTGCCCTTAACCACTGAGCCATCTCTCCATCTCCAGCCCCCAAGAAGCTTGTTTCTAAATGCCTCTTATCCTAACTTCTTATACTAACTCATCTCCCCTTCTGTTGTGACACACAGTGCACCCAGATGTTCTGGAGCCAGCCCTCCCAGCACAGAAGCCTCCTGACTCAGAGTGGTTGGACGGGACCGCTGCAGCAGAGAAAGCCACCGCCTTTCCTCCAGCCACATTTTTCAAAACACCGCAGGAAAAGAGCCCGGGATGCAGCTCAAGCCCAGTACCCAATGGGTGTTGAACCTCTGTATCGTACAGTCTTACTGTTCTGATCGGCAGGCTTCGTCCTGATGCCATCAGGACCAACTCTTCCTCACATGCAGCAGTCACTCTTTCTTCTAGAAAATGATATTTGAGGAATCTCTTTTTGTAAAATATCAGTTTTCTTTAAATGGGCGGGGCATCGTCTGCTGTATTCCTTCCTTCCTTGCTAGCCCACCATTCACCTCCAGCTGCCACCTTAGAGCTGCTGCTCCTTGGCAGCTGTGTCTTTGTTCCTGAAAATCTAGTAACAGCTTTTGCCTACCTTCTGTGTAGAGCTTTTAATATCGCTGATGAAGTCCTAAATTTGCAGCCAATTCGAAACACATTCCTGGATGGAATTGTGTCTATGCAGTAAGGCTTGCCATGGAGCCTTGATTCACTCAGTGCCAGTAAGATACATCAACCAAGTTCTCAGTTTGGGGCCCTAGAAGAGACACCAGCAGTTAGGGTTGGGAGTTTATTCCCTTGCCTGCTCATGGTCTGAGGGGATCGCCAGCAACTCCATTGTACCTGACCTCCTCCTCATGCTCAGTGTTCTACTGACAGGGCACAAAGGTCTGTGTACTACAGGGCAGATGGGGGTTTAGGTGCTCAGCAAAATAGTGGATAGTGTTCTGACCCCGATCTCATTGTTAGTGTTTTATAGGTCAGTAACCAGTGATAAGCAGAAACTCATGCTCCGTTATCTGTTATGATAATGGTTGGTTGGAGCCATGGTTTGGGAAGGAAAGATGTCTTTCTGATATGCCTTTCTATGTGGTGTGTTTATGACTGCTCAGCTGCAAGTACAGTTGTATATATAGTCCTGCCAGAAGTCAATGCTACTTTGTCAAGGTGGGGAATAAGTGAGTGCCTGCAGCTGCTGGGAAGAGCCACATTTCCCAGGAGTGTCATCTGGAGCGCCTGTCATTCAGGGCCTGCCTGACAGGATGCTCTCTCTTTTTATCAACTGAGTGCGTTGACTCTGAAACACACGTAGTGTTTGTTAAATACTCACTGCCTTGGTCATGTAGGAGAGAATAACCTCTCTTTAAGACAGCTTCCAGGTGATCTGGTGCCTCCTTTTCTTAAAGGGTAATTATCCCTCTCACACGGAGTGCAATCAGTGTGTTCATTTGGGAGGGTGCTCTGTGACTCCTTAGCAGTGAGGTGGGCAGGGCCCAGAATTTGAGTCTGTTTGCAAAGGGCAACCTGAAGCCCGGTGTTTACAGATCTTGGGGATGCTGAGACTGTGTCAGCTGACCATAGCAAGAATGGTAGAGGGGGGTGCAGAGAGAGATCGTAGGATGAAAAGGGTAACACCAAAACCTGTCCCCCAGACTCACTCTGATTCTTACAAGGAGTGAGTGTCTTATGGGTGTCTCAGCTGCATCCACAGAAGACAGGGACTGTGGCACTGTTACAAATTCAGAGATTTAAGTGGACGCTTGTGCCATTGTGTTCCTGTAGTGGCCTGTGGAACACATTTCTTCTGTTCTGGGTTGGGTAGAGGGAAAAATCTACTGACGATGCTTTTTAAATGTTTCCAGACTGGTTCATGCAGACACTGGTCCTGACAGTGACCTCCACCGTCAGGTGCAAAGGTGTCCAGTGGCTCTCCTTTTGGTACATTATGGTACACTGCCTGGTCGTCCTCTTTTTACCTGGGATTTAAAGTAGCTTATATATACATATTTATTTATATTTTAAATATCTCTCTGAAGCCATGCCAATTTTCAGAGGTGAAGGCAGAGTTGCATGCTTTACTCAATCACAAGTGAGCCCAAACTGAAACAAGAGACGCTCGTGCTCTTCTGCCTGGGTTCTATAATCTGTTGTTTCTCACTGGTACCCTGAGTCAGCCCGAGGCCCACAGCTATGACGCGCTTTCATGACTGTTTCTCATCTTTGTTTGTCATGTGTTTCTACACATTTCTGAATGCTTTTGACAGGGACCATCCAAGATTACAGCATCTGCCTGTAATGAATGGGGATAACGTTATTTACCAAGAAAACAGAATATTAAGCACATAAATTCTTTCTAAAGCAGGGTTGTAATGTATGCTCATTTTAAAGTGTAAGTGCATGCTTACGGATGCCACTCATCTGCTTATTTTCTATGTTAACCAGCTTCGGGCAAACTTTAGTATCAGTTGTGTTTTAAACCTTACATTCAAAACAATTTTTTTATGGCACAGTGGATAATGTCATAAATTTAAGATCTGCTTTTCAAGGAGAGGTGCACTTTTGCAATCATGTTTGTTCTCAGTATTGAAGATCACTTGACAGACCTTAAAGATGGCCTTTGACTGTGCTCATTCATTTCATATCAGAACTAATGAAGCCAAGTGCCGTGGTTCTGATTTCCATGTTCTGATGTATTCTTATGGACTATATGGATGTTTCTCTGAATTTCACTGGCTTGTTTTTTTTTCTATAGTGGACAAAAGTCACATTATCTACTTGCATGAAGTCCATTCACAAGACGTTAGCTTTACCAAGAACTTTAACGGGATCTGAGACTATTTTCGGATGCAGTGTTTAGAGAAAGAGCTTCATGTATCAACCTCCCTGGGTAGCTCTTTGGTCAGAACTGATGAGAGGACGAATTCAGTGCTGTTTACACGGTGCTACACTTGGAGGGGCAGGATACGGTGTTCTGAGTGACATGTGGTTGGGCCTTGAGTTTTTTAGAAGTCAATTGCAATAAAAAATTTCAGATGACATTGGCTCTTAAACAAGACAGTTCTCACAGCAAATGACCCAAAGTAAATAAAGCGTCTTAACTTGTGGTGCTTATGAATGAGGCCTTTTATTAAGTAAAGCTCAATGCAGAACAACCGGTAATTAAATTAATTACCAGTCCTGATTAAGCTTTGCATTTGGGGACGAGAGACATTAAGCATGTCTGTCTGTCTGTCATCTATATCTACCTATCGATATCTACCTATTTATCCATCTATCTAAAATTTCCTTCCAATGTCCAGGAAGTTCTGCTGCACCTGAGTTACCATCACAGAAGCCACTCAGAACTGAGAGGTACAGGTATTAGGAGAAGCTGCCAGGCTACCGTGGTCATGGCTGCATTCAGTGTCTTAGGAAACTTGTTTGGGGTGAGAGCACAGAGACTGGCTCGAGCAAACATGACTGCTGCCTTGTTGGGGACATAGCTTAGACAATGAGGTAGTGGAAGCATTTCACTCTAGTCAGCCTCTGCCTTTGCTGAAAGCTAGTTTTGCTTGTCAGTATTTATCTCCTGTTGCTGCAGTTAGCAGAGCTACAGCTGCTAGTCACCAGGGGTGGCTCCTGTGTGACAGTCTCCGAGAAGGAGGGCCTGTGCCTGGGAATGGCTATGCCTGGGAATGGCAGTGTGGAAGACAAAGGAGCAGTAATGCTGAAGGTATAGACTACAAGGTTTTTCAAAAAGGAGCCCAGCAGTGCAAATGGACAGAATAATACACTCCTAACAGTGGGGAAATCTCTCGGCAGATCAGCAGATAGGAAGATGAGGCCCATGCTGAGGATTCAAAGGAAAGCCATCTTAGGCAGAGAGGGGAAAGGGCTGCTCCTAGCAGAGCCTCAGACAGGTCTTAGACTAGCAGGGAGTTCAGTGCCGAAAATGGCCATCGTGGAGAACAGTCTCCAGCAAAGGGAGAGGGCCAGCTCAGGGCAGTCCTCAGACCAGCAGCACCTACCCACTGACTTGGCACCCGGGCATCCCATAATCCCTCAGCAGCCCGTGTGCCATTAGCAGTTAGACTGTCTCCTGTAGTAGGGTCTGCCTATGTGCTTGGCAAAGACGGGCTTGTGGATGATTCCTTGCAGAAACTCTCAAACATGGCTTTGTTCCCCGTGTGTTTGCTCCCAGACACCTGAAAGATTGCTACTAAGAAAGAATGATGTGGAAGAAACCGTCCCAGTGGCCACAAGGAGAAGATGGGAGTGGCCTGAGATAGGAGTTGTCAGTATAAAAATGTTATATAAGATACAGCCACCTGTGAGCTTACAATGTTTGTTCATTAAATCTTAGTTTCAGGGAAAAGCCTTACACACTTTCCCCCACATAATGATGTATATACTTTGATATAAAGCTCAGAAAAGGAAAATTAAAAAAAAAAAAACCTCAGGTTCATCACAGGCATATAATAAGCAGCTACTGAGTTTGGTAATCTCAGAACTTCAGTTCTTCACAGCCCACCCACATTCTCATGGCTGCTCTACACAGCTAATCGGGTGCGAGGGCTGGGAATCCAGCAGGAATAGCACACAGTTTTGTTGTCTGAGTCATGGCTTCAGCATCTCAGAATGTGATAATCTCATCTTGAAGCCTTCAAAAGGAATGGACATTGTTCTTTATGATTTAGTCATAATTAAGGTGGATCCTGACCACTGCCAAAGCTCACAGCCTAAGCCTTCCTTTCCAGACAGATGTGGTGAAGGAGTTCCCTGCGTTTGGGAAGGTGTTCCGAGAACTGCCTAGTCTTGTTCTTTATACTCATACCTGTGTTGTTGGTTTGGCTCTCAATTGTTACAACCATTGAGAACAGGACATGGCTTTTCTTTCCCATCTTAAAGACCAATTAAAACCATGAGTCGCAAAAAATAGCCTCATTACTAAATAGCTATCAAAAGTCTCTTGATAGTGCTGGGCCTGGTAGCACACATCTCTGATCCAAGTATTGGGAGGCAGAGGAGTTTGAGGCCAGCCTGGTCTACATATTGAGTTCTAGGACACCCAGAGCTACATAGAGAAATGCTGTTGTTTTTTTTTTTTTTTAAAAAGGCTTGATGATGGTCCATGCCAGCAGTGCCAAGGGGCTGGCCTGAACTTCATAGCAAGACTGGCTTAACAATCAGTTTTAAAAGCTTCCTAAAGTTTAATGCAAAATTTCTTTTTGCAAGGTAGTTTATGGACCTCATAGTCTTCAAATATTATAAATTGAAGAGTGAAAGAAGAGAGAATTTCATAGCCCCTGGGTAGCGTTCTTAACTACATTGTATTCTTGCCAATGGCTAATGAACAACAGCTGAGCAAAACGCCACCACCCCAGAGTCATGTAACAGCCCTACTCCCCAGTGTCCTGGCCAGTGCTGCTCCTGGTAGCAGTTTTTGCTTTGCAAAAACTATTCCAAACCCTGTTAACCCCAGCCTCTCAGCAACTGACCTCACACACACCCCCATTGAGAAGAGTGTCCCCCTGCCTCCCAGCTACACTTCTCTTGCCCAAGTCTGTTGCCCTCGGCCTTCTTGATTTGTGCATTACTCGAGCTAGCTGTCATAGATATTTTTGCATTTTTAAAATATGTTCATAAAATCATTCCCTCAAACAAATACCCTTTCTTAACTCTGGACCCCTGCCTACCACTGAGGTATGCCCCCTACTTTACCTGTGAATTCTGGTGTCTATTGAAGCAGGGGTTTTAATCCTGGGTGCACATGAGGATCAACTGGGAGTTTTAAAAGGGATGATGGTTCAGCAGGTAAAGGGCATTTGTCAAGCCTGATAATTTGAGTTCTACCCCTGGGACTCACATGTGTCTGTCCTCTGTACAGATATGCCATGGCACATATGTGCACAATAAATATAATTCTCTTTTTATTAAAGGAAAAACAGTTTTCAAATGAACTTTAGGGAGAATCCATCCCATATTTACTATCTTATGCCTACACATAATTGGGTGACATATGATTAAAATGCGAGTCACTACAGAAAGGGACTTAACACAGCAATGATGATCTGACCTACGTCAATGACTTGCCAGTAAGAGGCTCTCTGCCATTGTACCTTCTAACTATAGTTCTCTATATAAAAGGTACTGACTTTTGTATGCTAATTTTATTTCCTGCTACTGACTTGTTCTACTTGTGGGAGTGAATTTTTACCAGTAATCCACTGGAGTAAAAAAAAAAAAAATCTTCCTAAATGCACAAAACAAACAAACAGATGAGAGACAAATTAGACGATGCCATCCTTCACCTAAAAGTCTTCACCAAGCCCAGTGATCTTCAGCTTCTGGCATGAAGACTGAGGTGAGCATCTGAGGTCAGGCACAGGATGCTCAAGGAAGGGGGTTTGGGCTGAGGTGTCTCACAAAGCCAGCTCGCTGCCAAGCATGGCATCTACTAGTGTCAGGTAAGTGCTAACTAAACCATAGACCTCAGTAGAAGCAAGTTTGCCTTTCTCCATCTTGATCTGGTGGAAGAAATGTCATTTTTTTTACCTAAAAATGTTTAACAAGTTGTCCCTGACATAGGGTTCTGTACCAATGTAGACTGCTTGTGTGGTCTAAAATTTGCAGCAGACCTGGGTCTGTCATAATTCCAGGTGACTAGCAGAAGCAGTGTCAAAACTCTGCAAGAGCAAACATCCATGCAGGTGCCAAAGTAGCCCCACAGGTGAGGCGATGTAGAAGCTAGGCTCACAGTTGAAACCATAAACTAAGCAGGAAGTGAGGTAGACACAGCTAAGACAGGAAAATTAACAAGGGAATGCTGTGAACAGCCTTGGCCAAGAAACTTGTAAACCTCCCCCAAATAATTTACTAAAATTATCCAATCAGGAGAAGCAAAAAGATGGATTAGTTCTGTGACATTAAATAAACCTGATTGTAATTTAAAATCTGAGACTGTCTTCTGTAGAAGGATTTGTGGCCCACCCCTACCCCTCATCCCTGCCCCCTCTCCATTCTCCAAATACTGTCAGTCCTTTTTCTGGTGTATGTTTGTGTTACAATCGATTTGGAAGAACAAAGGGAGAAGATCAGCCAGAGAAAGCCCTGAAAAAGCATTTGGAAGGGAAACTTTGTCCTAGTACACATTAACATGAAATTTAACTCAGAAAGTGTGGTACAGGCACACGTATAGGCAAGAAGTGGAACAGACAATTCAGAAATGGGCTCAACTGCATAAGACAGTTCAGGATACAGTAAAGTTGATGTCCTCAGTCAAGGTGGCAGCAGCGGCAGTGGGTGGGTAGGTGGAGATGAATTAGAAGACTGATGCTGGAACAACTGGATAGAATTTCATAGATGGCTATACAGAAAAGGGAAATTAGACCTGTCCCTCATACTTCATGGCAGGGTAATTCCCACGCTGGCCAGGAATTTAATTATACACTATACAATTACTAGGGTGAAATGATAGGACAGATATCAATAACAGGACTCAGGAGGCTGTGGCTGGTTGTCTCCACTTTGCCAATGCCCGTCTCAGGGCTGCCAGGAACTGTGTGGATGTTTGTTTTGGACACACACACACTTAAGGATTCAGTAAGAAAGGAATGAGATGGAGATGTTTTGTGACTGCAAGCCCTTAAAATACTAAGACATTACATAAAGTTGTCCACTTGTAAGCTGGGAGTGGGCAAGCGTCCCAGGGGTGTTGGTCAGCTGCCAGGTTATGATGGGGTGGTCAGCTGGGGCAGCTCTGCTCCTTGTACCTCACTCTCCTTAGACCAGTAGGAAAATTCCCCACCTTCACGAGTCTTCCCTCACTGCCTTTTGAGATCCAGCTGCAGTTGGAAACTTTTGACTCCTTTAAAGAAAACAACTGAAGCTTTCACATGAACTTAGGCCATAAGCAAACAAGAGCACAGTCACTGGGAAGCACGTGGGAATTTACAGCCTGGTTATGGCTGAGCCTAATGTATAAGAAACTTTAAAAATAGGAATTATTCCATAGGAATAATTTGAACAGCCTACTCAGGGAAGTGTGGGGTGTGTGTGTGTGTGTGTGTGTGTGTGTGTGTGTGTGTGTGTAGCTTTTAAACATTTGAAGGGATGCTCAGATTTCCACATAGCCAG